AATTCCCTGAACACCCCATTAAAATTTTTCCTTTGTTCCCCTTTTTTTTTTTTTTTTTTTTTTTTTTTCATTTTTGTTTGAACTCTGTAGTGCTGTTTTCCCCCTCTGCTGGTCTGTCAACAAAATACAGTAAAGCTAAAAATTTGAATGTTGTCATTAGATTATCTTCCCCAGCTACAACATATAATTCTCAATAAAACTACTGCAGAAGCTAGCATACTCGTTCTTTGGTATACAGAGTTCACCATCAAGCACCAACTGTCATCGAATATCATTTTTGGAGCTTTAAATATTGTAACCACATCCCACAGTATTTTAAAAGCAAAGATGGACAGTCACTTTTCTGTAGTCAGAGTTAATAGAAGATAAAATAGGTACCCATGTGTGTGCTTAGTTTTTAAGGCTACTTTAGTTGGATGTTGTGAATTGCAGAAATTGTGTTTCACATTTTGACATGTGGTTGGAAACAAAAACTTTAAATTTAATAAGGCCTACAAAAAGCAGAAAACAAATAAGAAAATCACATTCCCAATATGGATTGCTTGGGTTAGTTGTTGAAGTGTATTGAAGGTTGAAGTGCTTGTCTTTAACTAAGGCTCAGCGAGATGTAGTAGTGAAGACTCTGGTAGACAGACTTAGATGAATGAAAAGAGTATTGTATTACAAATAAGCCCATATTACAAATCAGTGCACATAATATGATGGAAAGCAAAGACAAAAGAGTTTTTATAAGAGATGCAGTCACTGTGTTTGCTTATTGGTTACAGACTACACACAAACAACTTCCCGTGTTGGCACCACTATGTCCAACCGTCGTACTTATGCACTCTAAATCTTCCAGCGGTGGTCTTTATTGGCACACACCTTCATATATGGTGGCCTGCTGCTCTGCCTTCTCTTGTTATCACATTCTGGATTAATAAATCTCCTTTTGGTTCAGTCAAGCTTAAAGGTTGTTAGCATAGACGTTACCTAAACATATCTAGCTCTTTCAGCTTCAATATGAGTTGTTGCTGTTTTCTAAACAGCAACAACTCATGAAAGAAAACGGAAATATATTCCGTTTTCTTACAGTACTAGAAACTATTCCAAGTTGTTTACAACAAACTAATAGATCAGCCATGAAGTGTAAATATAGTTATTAAGTCATTCTTAGTTATATGTATAACTATTCAAATTTTCGTAGTTAAAGAAAGAAGGGAAAATAAATTACTTACTAGTTTTTAATTCATAAGCAGCTGGGACCAAGTGAAAACCCAAAGCCCCACCCACCTGGTTTTCTTTTACATATAAGTGCCTGGTACCAGTGAAGTTTCTGTTTATTTGCAACAACATCACAGGTAGGTTTATATTTCCGCATTTTTCTCTTATTATTTTTTTTCTGTCCTTCATGTTTCTAAATTGTTTAGGATATGGTGTACAATATGCATTTGTTATAAATATCCCAATAAACAGGAACTACATTGGTTTTATTTGTGTAAGTGAAGAAAAATATTTAGTGATACAGAAAGGTTTGCTTGCGTGCCACGGTGTAAAACTGTGATTCCCCCTCCTTCACTCGTTCTCATAACTCCTTTGGTCTGCCCTCACCACAAACACCAGGAGGCTATGCTTTCATTTTCAGGTGTGATTTCAGCTGTTTTTGACTGCATATTCTCATAGTCTAAACAATATTTTGTCTTCCTAAAGTAAAAGTCGATGTCTTTTTTTTTTTTTTTTATTTGCCTAAAACATCTTTTGAAAAGAAAAAGGTGGTGAATTTTTTTTTTGCCACTGAATAAGCTCATTATTTTAGGAAGGTGACGATTTGTAAATTGGATTCATATTCTCATATTCTTCTTTACAAATCATTTTACATTTTACATGTACAATTAAAACGCCTATTAAGGTTGTATGTTAGGACTACTGTCAATTCTCATGCCAGGATTTATTTTATTGGACATATAGCTTTCAACTTTTCATACATTTGAGTCATTGCACTAAGGCCCGGTAACTTCATATAATTCTGATTATAACGGCAAATCTCATCACAAAGATTTTTTCTTTTCTTTTCTTTTTTCTTTTTGTTTTTTACAACAGATCCTATGCAAATACATTTGCAGAACAGGCATGACGATAAATTGCTTTGGTCTGCTGACGGCTCTGAGAAATCAAGGTGTGGAGAGACAGAGAGTTCCTCTGACAGAAAATCTTTTAAAACAATGAACAATTGTGAAAAATAAATTTTCTGCTTTTAGTAAAAAGTTCTGAAAAGTTCCTATGTCAAAAATATTTCTGCCTTTGTTGCAGTTCCTCTGAAGAGCATTGATGCTCAGCTGGAGGTGAAGGACCATGTAGCTACTCTGGTCTCCACTCTGAACTATGAGAACAAGGAGGACAAACCTCTAGAGGCTGTGTTTGTCTTCCCTCTGCCTGGAGATGCTGCTGTGTGTCATTTCAGTGCTCAGATTGGAGAAACACACATTGTAGCTGAGGTGAAGGAGAAACAGCAGGTGAGCTGGAACAAAGATGTCTTCTCTATAAAGAAGCTAAAACACAGTAAAGGGAACATTGCTGACATGCTTCATGTGGACTGCAGGCTCAGGAGGAGTATGATGATGCTCTGAGCTCCGGTCAGCAAGCCTTCCTGTTGGAGGAGAGTGATGAGAGTCCAGATATCTTCTCTCTGAAAGTGGGCAGTCTGCCTCCAGGAGAGAGCGCCTCCATCAGGCTGGAGTACGTCACTGAACTGGCTGTGCAGGCTGATGATGGGCTGAGGTTCTGTATGCTTGCTGTGCTCAACCCTCGATACCAACCTCAGGGTAGGAAAACCAGCCAAGAGATGGATGCACTCATATACATTTTAATTACAAACTAAGTGACTCCCATTTTTCTCTCATGTTGTTTCCAGGTAGTGAAGGTCCCAGTGTCCAGGTGACCTCAGTTCCAGCCTCTCTGGTGCCCTACAGTCTGTCCTTTTCTGCCCAGGTCTCCTCTCCTCGTCCAATCTCTAAAATAGAGTCCAGTTGTTCTCTGGAGCCTCTTCAGTACCTCAACGCTGATCAAACTCAGGCCACGGTGGGTAGAGAGCTGATGTTACTGCTGGATGTAGTTATTACAAACAAGATAAATCACTTCAGTTTTCTTGTTTCTTGTTTTCAACTGTAGGTTAAATTGGTTGCAGGACACAAGTTTGACAGAGACGTTGAGCTACTGATTTATTACAAAGATGCCCACCAGCCCTCTGCTGTGGTGGAGGCAGGACAGGCCTCTGCCAAACCTGGTGAGTGAAAAATAGTTAACTATTTTACATACATGAGATTCATGAGATTATATCAACCTAGACATTGCTTTGCTACAAATTGTATATGGTATCCTAACAAGTAGTAAATTGCTATTTCTGCTTTGCTCTGTTTGTCTTGCACATATGTGACTGCCAGAGCATCTTTCATCAATAATAAAAAAATAAATATGAAATTGATTTTAATTTTTCTATTCATGTCATAAATCAGGCTCTCTGATGGGTGATCCAGTGGTGATGGTTAGCCTTTACCCAGAGTTCTCCCAATCAGTGATGTCCTCACTCACTACTTGTGGAGAGTTTATATTTTTGGTGGATCGATCAGGAAGTATGCGTTCAAGAATGAATCACAAAACATCTCAGAGTCGCATGGACAGTGCCAAGGTATGAATATTGTTCTTAGTTGTAAAGTCCTTTGATGGATCTTTTTAATTTATTTACTCTCCTCTCTTTAGGAAACTCTGTTGTTCCTTTTGAAGAGCTTGCCAATGGGCTGCTACTTCAACATCTACAGTTTTGGGACAACGTTTGAATACACCTTCCCGTAAGTCACTACCAGTCATAAGTCTTCCTCTGTTAAGTTCTACATAAATATTTAGGTTGATTGATGAATATTCTTGTCTAACAATAGCAACAGTGTGAAGTACACCCAGAAAACAATGGAGAACGCTCTGAAGAAAGTTGAAGAGATGGCAGCTGATCTGGGGGGAACAGAAATCCTGCAGCCACTCACACTTATTTACAGCCAGCAGTGCATTCCTAATCATCCCAGACAAGTAGTTTGATCCTATTGTTTTACTTTGTAGAAGCAAAATCCCTTAAGGGGTTATTACGTCTTGTGTTCAGTTAATATTTGGATTAATTCCATTTACCTTCCCTTTAAAAAAAAAGACATTTTGCATTTAACATTTAGATTTCTTAGCTCATGCCTTTTGAAGAGTTTTACGAGGAAACATAAATCAACTACTGTAATTCATGCTTTCTTCTCTAGCTGTTTGTCTTTTCTGATGGAGAAGTTGGAAACACCAAAGATGTTTTAGATCTGGTCAGAAAGAATTCAGATTCCCACAGGTGAAACCAGATCAACACAAGCTTTTTTTTTTATGTGTCTGCAAGATCAGCACGAACTTAAGCAAACTGCTGCTTTGTAGGTGCTTATCCTTTGGGATTGGGGAAGGAGCAAGTTCTGCTCTCATCAACGGGATGGCCAAAGAAGGTGGAGGTCACGCTCAGTTCATAACAGGAACTGAAAGGATGCAACCAAAAGTAAGACAGAAAACAAAATTGATCACGTTTTTAATACACAGTTGCGCATTGAAGATTGTATGGAGCAGCCATTTGTGGGTTTCTACAACAAGCAGGTCCTGTAGGTAAAAGAAACGAGTAACCTTGATCTTTATGCAATGAACAAACTTGCAGGATCACACCTTGCTGTTGGGGTACAAACCCTGCCTACAAGTTGCGACTTGAAATGTTATTCTCACTCCTACTCACCTCTCTGCACCAAAGTACAGTCATCTGTCTCTGTATGATGCATGCCATGGTGGTAAAGTGAGAAAAGTATGACAATTAGTGTTAATGATGGATTTCAGTCAGAAAGATATAGTACCATGGTTTCTTTTAATTGTCAGTTGACAATGCATGTTACACCATGGGTCCATTTGGACAAAACTTTCCATCTGGGTGCATGTACGGATATTTTTTGTCACAGCAGTTTTGCATTGCTTTTAGGTGATGGAGTCACTGCGATTTGCTTTGCATCCAACTGTAGTGGACATTTCACTCACTTGGGATTTACCAAAAGGAGTGTCAGCCACTGTTCTCTCTCCACCAATCAAAGCACTTTTCCAGGGTCAGAGGTCTGTGATATACTCCCAGCTCTCTGGAAAGGTATGAACTGCACTTGTTTCTCAAACTAGACATATCAGATTTTAATTAGTTATTTGGAGTATTGTCCAACTAGATTTAGAAAATGGGACAGTGATGTTTGTCAACGCATTCCATATTTGTTTAGAGGTTAAAACTACCAAGTTTCAACTTTCAGACAGAAACTAACAAAACACTCTAAGAGCATTCTAACTTGGAAATTTAACCCTGACCTCAAAACCAATGAGACTGTCCATGTAAAATCTAATGAAAACTGCCATTTGTTTGCAGCTATGTGTTAAGATATGACAATCAATCTGAAATATCAGAACAACCTTCACTTAGACCAGTCAGATTAAAAACCAGGAAGTGAATAAACTAAAAGAAATCTTTTTTTTGTTGCTGTTTTTCTGAATCACAGATTAATCTGATTAAAACTTCAACCAATTTCAATCTATAAGGACATCAACTAACCGCATGTTCTTTGATGCACTTTTTAAAAAAAATCTCCAATACCTAAAGGATAAATGCCAAGAACTTGGGGTTACGTTTATATTTTCTTCAATTTTTTGTTGGTTTTGAAACTACTAAACCTATTTAACAAGTTCCAGCATGATTTTTAATCTCCCAGACCCCAGAATAAAAATCTAAATTTGTCAAAATTAGAATCAGGATGCCAGACCTCAAAGAAATCAGCATGTCTGCTTCAAATCGTTTCACAGAAGGCTCACATTGGAACAGTGTTGGAAATTACAACATGTAGAAATATATTTTATTTATAATTATTCTGTGTTGGTGCAGTTAACGTGGTCACTGAAAATATCAACTGGAGTTTTTAACTCATAACTGAAACATGACTTAGTTAGATTGAAAGTCATTCCTTCTGATTTTGGAGTTAGATACAGATTGACAGCTGTGCCATTCTGATGTTGCTTTATTGGGCCCAGGAATTAGCAATGATTTTTGACAAATGATGCTTTCTTAGATTTCAGAAGCATCAGAAGCTTGTGTGAAGGTCAAGTACAGCCTGGCAGGTCATCCCTGTGAGAACCAGCTGCACTTCAGCCTCAATCCATCAGGAAACACTGGGTAAAATACACAGGTTTACTGTTTGGATCTTTCTTTCACAAATTTACTTCAAATGCATATAAAGAAAATACTATGTGTGCTATAGTTTAGGGGAAAATGTATATAAACACCCACCTACATGTAAATAAATACCATTTGTTCAATATAGGTTTTAACACTGCTACTGGTCTAAGTTACCAAAGCTAATTTTTAATGTGACATTCAGGCTTAGTGTGATGACCGGGCTCTAAGGTCACAACAAAAAGGGAGATACAATGTCGAAGAGTTTCTGAAAATACACTTATTTAAATTATAGTAATGTTGAAAAAGTCTTTATCTTCTGTTCATGTCTTATGGACAATCTGAAGAACTGCTTAGCCTCATAGAAACTTTAATTTATATTTGATGTCATTTATTCTCCTCAAATTATTCATGGTTTAATGCTTAGTGCATTGTTGCCATGTTGATGATCCCCATGTCCAGCTGAGTGTTAGTCACATTTAGGTTGCTGGTAGGTCTGTGTTCTCTTTAGCTGCTATCACATGAATCACAGAAAAAAATAAAATATATATATATATAGTTGTCATTTAAAAGGCTCCATATTTTTGTTGCTTTAAACAAATATTCCCTTTTCCCATCTCTTTGAGAGTTTATTACTCTACTATGTCTGCAGATTAACGGTCCACAGGTTGGCTGCTCGGACTCTGATTCACTCACTTGAAATGAAGATGAGAGAACCCAGTGGAATGGACAACGATGCCAAGAGGAAGGTGGTTAAGCTCAGTGTCGAATCAGGAGTGAACAGTTCCTTCACTGCCTTCATTGCAGTCAACAAAACAACAAACAAAGTAATTCAAGGACCTCTGGTACGCCGAAATGTTCCAACAGCCAGTGAGTGCTATTTTTCTAAGTACATGACATTGAAATACTTCTTCACTCAAGCATGTTCAGAATTTACGGAGAACCTGAAACAGCTTATGCAGCATGCCCATGTAGCATACCAGGTTATATTTAAAGAACAAAAAAGGGTAACAATAAAGTAAAGAAAAATCAAGCTTCAGAGTTCAAAGATGACACAAAACCAAATATCTGCTTTATAAATTGCATATATATATATAAAGTAACAATTTTTAATTTAATATCTTATGTACAATGGATATGATCACCAAAGCAAATAACACCTTTATCTAAAAATTCTAATAAAAAGTGTTACCTAATAATCTTAGATGGAATAATAAATTCACATTTATTTCTGTCTCGTGGATTCCAAACATTTAGATGATCATATCCCTGTAAAATCAAGTTGTAAGTCCAAAGGTGAAAGCAACACAAAAAGCAGACAGGTTAGGAGCATATATCCTAAAACCTACACTGATAATCACGTAACCAGCAGCCTGATGACTCATTTCTAGAATGTGTGGTGCAGAGGTGTTTATTCTGCAGGGAGCTCAATAAAGTGAAGAAGTGAAAAATACAAGAGCTTTTGTGCAGGACTGGGACCTGATGTGAGAGAACAGCATTGTTGTTTTGGACTTTAGCCCCATATTACTGTTACAACTTGATGAAACTGTAACACGGGGGAAAGCACCCGGATTGTGACTGAGGACGTGGCCCTAAAGCCAACTGGTAGACTACTGAAATATCAAGTGGTCTAGAGTTTCCCAATTAATGATACCCAGGTAGGTCTGGCTGAGAATGAGGAAACAAATAGTATACAAAATATGTTTTATTTATACATTCTTTTACAATATTAAAAATAGACTTTATTAT